GTGGGCCAATATTGGAGGCAGGGGAACCTGTTAATAGACTGTTTCAATAATTTATGTAGGAGAAAATGAGAGATGGAAGTCAGGCAGCGGAGATGGAGAGCGGGAGGCAGGTAGGAGGATGCAGACAGGGAAATCAACCAAAACTGGGGGAGGGAAGTTGAGAGAGGAGTTAAAAAGACTGTCAGGATTTTGGCCTGGTGAGTGGGAGCTGATGATCCTCTTCTCTGAGATAGGAAACTCCAAAAGAGGAGCAAGTGCCCGTAGCAGGAGGTGGAAGATGCATTTTGCTCTGAATATGTTGAGTTTGGAGTGCCTTCAAGATATCCAAGAGGCAGCTGAAAATATGTGTCTGTGTTATTATTTTTACTTACCTTATCTTTGATGAAGAAATGTGAGCTTGATGACCCTGAGCTTTATTCCTTACAGCCAAACACGGAAAATGCCCCAAACCAGTTAAATGCTTTCCAGTGCTGAAGGCAATAGCAACGCTCACACTTCTTCCTCTAAATTACTCTCCCCTGCAGCTTATGATGGAATGTGAGTCGTTAAGATGATGGGAGGGAATTGGGAAAGATGTAGAATGTGATTCACAGTCTTACCTCTAATAGGGGATTTGGGATGTCTTGGATTATAAAGCCTCTTGTGAGTGTTGATTGCACTGAAATAAGCTTGTGTCATCACATTCCCTGTTCTGATGATGTTTGTACATCCTGAAGTCAGGAAAATATGCTATGGTTCCATGAACCAGGCTGGACCCTGACTTCTCTATATTGCTCTGAGCATTATCAAGAGGCCATAAATAACCACCTTTTTGATTTTCCAAGTAGAAAGTCTGTGTGTGCTTATTCCTCATTGTGTTCAGTGATAGGGGATACAGAGTGGGACCCGGGTGCTGTTTGATGGGGGATGACCCCCTCTTCTATCTCTCGCTGCACATTCCTCTTCCTTGGCTCTTGTTTGCATCAAAGGTCCTGAGCAATCAAAAGTAACAAGTGGTGAGCACATCCGATGCCACCAGTTCCTGGGATCTCAGCCTCTGAAATGGGGACTAGGATTTCTTATCTGCTTGGGAAGAAATGGAAGTAAGGAGGCCGTCCTTGAGAACACAGGGCTTCCCGCAGTACCTCTGATTTAGGAAGCACAAGGTGGCTATTTCTTCCTCAGGCAGGAACAGAGACAAAGTGAGGGAAAAGAAAAAGAAAGGAAGAGAAATCTTCTGAAACACTCTGGCCTGTCACCAGGTGGTGTGAAATGGGAGCGAGTCAGACACCTCTTCAAGGCAAGATAAAGAATTTCAGATGGGAAGTCACAGCACCAGCATAGCCTGCTCTTGGCTTCTGCAGCATGTGAGCTGAATGGAAGTTTTGGCCAAACTAGAGTGCGCAAGGCTTTACATTGACATCCCCAGAAATTTTGGCACCTTGGAGCTTCCACAAGCAAAAATGTGGACCTCGTTTCTATCTGCTGTCTTAGGAGAGGAGTGAAGGCTTTGCCTGTCCATCCCTGGAGAGCTCAGAAAGAAAGCCTGAGGACTTTTCTACCTGCTTCTTCAGGGCAGAGGCCTGATCTATGACCACGCTCACCTCCAGGGACAAATCCTCTCTGTGCTCAGTAAAGCTAGGGTCAGGTGGCCTGGACTTCCAGCCACTCCATAAGGAAGTTGTTTTTCTTTGGACATACCCTGAGCACAAGTGCTAAGTTTTGGAACTCAAAGAGTACAAAAGGGGTTATCTTTTGTACTGCATGGTTGACAATGCCACTGCACAAGCCTATGATGAGGGCAGAGCTGGAGCCGAAGCTCCTCATTTTACAGATATGCATGAGAGGCCTTTGAGAAGAATCAGAGAAGTGGAGTGACTGGTCAAAGGTCACACAGCTAGGATGTAGGCAAGAACTCAGCCTTCCTGACTCCTCTTCTTGCTGCTTGTTTATTTAAAAATATTTATTAAGCATTTACAGTGCCTGAGACATTAGGGACACAGAGGCGGTTCCTGCCTGTGTTGTATTGGAATCTAGGTGATAGCATGCGTGGAAGTAGAAATGAAAGACCATGGGATGTGGAGCCCAGCTGACAGGTGCTCACCCTGGACCCCAGCTTCGCAATGACCTGGGTCACTTCAACTCTCGGAGACTTGGTTTCCAAATATGTAGAATGGAGATCATAATTCCTGCTGCAATGGAGTGCTCTGACGATTTTAAAAGGCTTCTCTACAAAGATTAGTTAGTTTAATGAACTTTGGCAAATTTCCTCAGAATTCTCAGGAAAGAAGGTAAATGACCCCTGAAAACTCCATTTCTAACAGAAGACTACAAGGTCTTCCTAAAGGAACATTTTTGGTTTTATCCTCAGAATTCTAGCAAATTTGACTAGTAAGTCAGAGCTTTTCCCTCCCACAAGACCAGAACTCTCTGCTAATTAAGTTCGCTCGTCTATCTGGTCATCTGGCTTCAGCCAGCAGAAGCTTGTGGGAGAAGAAAAGAACTGAACCATTCTGGATAGCCATGCCACTGGCAGAAGCAAATGTCCCAAGTATAAATCGCCTTCTAATTAGGAAATAATTATGCCCCCAAATGGGGCTACACGGATGTAGAGTCGTCTCACAAATTGCCGATTAGTTTCATAGCAGCGACGGTATTTAGTGCCACTTCAGTTAATGGAAAATGTGTTGGAAATGGCTCGTCTTTGGCTGCATGAGGAGAGGCTCAGAGGACAGGGAATGAGGCAAGAGAAAAGGGAAACATTTGTCCTTTTTCTTGGAGAGGGAAGTGTAATGTAAGAGTTCGGGACGTGGGGTTAGACTCATGAAGTATTTTGATTTTATTCTAATTGTAATGGAAAGGTAGTGTAGGCTTGAGAGCGGGTGAAGGATGGGATCTAACTCATGTCTTTAAAAGGTTACCCTGGCTTCTGTCTGGAGAATGGATCGACATGGCAGCAGAAGAAGCTGGTGAACCGGTTAGAAAGGGATTGGAGTAGTATAAACAGGAGGTGATGGGCTGGGATGACAGTGGTAGAAGCAATGAGAAGCAGACGGATCCCGAATGTATTTTAAAGATCTTGCAGACAGAGCTTGCCCATGGACTGGATGTAAGCGGAGACAGGAGTACAGGATAACCAATAGGAATTTGTCCTGAGAAATCAGGTCAGTAACTGTGTCATTTCCTGAGACAGGGACACGGGAAAGGATCAGATTTCTCTGTGTGTGTGTGTGTGAGTGGATGCATGGGGGGGGGGGGGGCGGGGGGGGGGGGGGGGGGGGGGGGGGGGGGGGGTGGTCCAGAGTACTTTTCAAGACATTTTAGGTTTCTGATGTCTTTACCATCTCTAGGCAGAGATATAAAATATAGATATGGATATGTGAGTCTAGAACTTGTAGGGAAGGTTGGACCCAAATAAAAATGTGGGGGGCAATCAGTTGCATTTAAAGTCAAAGGACTGGATGAGATACAGCAGGTAAGGTGGAGAGTGAAAGCAAGAACAGACTCCCAGGCATTTCATCCATCTGCCATCTAGCCATCCACTCACCCAGCCACCATCTGCTCTTCCAACTAGCTATCCTTCTGTCTGTCCAAAAGTGTTTAGTAAATGCCCTCTTTGTGTCAGATGCTGGGTTGGGTACTATGATTCAAAGGTGAAAAATTATATAGCCCCTGCCTTGGAAAAGCTCACATTCTAAGGAGAGAGAGCACGCACAAAAAATACAGCAAAGACTGCTAAATTATTTGATAGAAGGGTGTTCATGGGGTTGGATCATGGAGCGGTCAACTGATGACTCTGCTGCTGAGGGAAAGATTGGAAAGACTGAGAAGAGGTTCCTATTGAAGATACACCTTGAAGGAGGACTAAGAGTTGATGAGGAGACGAGGAGGAGACCAGCATTCCTGGAGGAAGGAACAGCATGAGCGAAGGCATGGAAACATGAGTGCTTCTGGTGTCTTTGCAGAGGAGCAGAAAGGTCTGATGCAGATACAGTGTAAGGTGTGTGGTAGGAAGGGGTATGTCATGGATTGGAAATCCTGTGTCCTGGGCCATGGAATCCAGACTCTTCCTGTGGGTCATCATTTTAAGCTGAAGATTTTAAGTAAAGGAGAGATGGAGTGGACGTCATCAGATTTTGATTTTGGAAATGTCACCGGATATGAGGATTGGAGTCGTCAAATAAAAATCTAATCTGAATTTAGTAAGGGGAGGCTTTATTCATCAAAATTATTTCAAGGGGGAGAAAGGTACTATTACAATAGCGAAAACACTCTGACCATAAGATCTGTAAGCGTCTCAGGGGTTAGGCAAAAAGAGGTTTTCAAACAAAGCTAAAAAGAATGGAGTGTGGAGAAGCGAGATGAAGGGGGTGGTGCAACTGGACAGCAGGTTAGAGAATCTGAGGCCAGCCTGTTCCCGGAGGAGGCTGGGTGCTGGCTGGGGCTGTGAGTGATCCAAAGTTCAGGGACCCAGGAGAAGGAGAGAAGCTCACCCAACTTTGTTCAACAGGCATTTTGTTCTGATTGATCAGTAGGGACAGGAAGTTCGGCTAATCATTTATGAGGCAAGGACTGGGAAGATGGAGGGTGTGTGTCTGGCCTTGGCATAGGGAAGAAAGGGGGCATGGTGAGTCATATGGAAATCATATGGAGAGGGGTGGTTCTTTGCAGTAAGCTGTTTCCTGAAATGCAAAAAGGAGGGGAGATCTTTAACCATTACTCTTTTCCAGAATCACATGTCAGGGAGCTTAGTGAAGTCCAGCATCATCAGAATCAAGGCTGCATGCGTGGGGACTGCACAGGAAGATGAGTCCAGGTGAGGGTCAGCGGCAAAGCTCGCAGCTAAAACCCTGAAGCCAACCATGGATTCTCCCCAGTTCCCTGCCTCCCTCTACACTCCTGCATCGCACAAAGAGGGAAATCAAGTCACTTCCCCTTTCTACAAATACTAGCTCTGCCTGAAACCTTAGTGATGCCCAAGACAGCAGCAACGACGACCACAAAGACCACGACTCCATTTCTCATTTTCATATCAATTGGCAGAAATTATCTTTATTAGAAAAATGAAATTTTCCTGTATTTACATTTGTACACCATATGACTGGGCACTTTTGTTGCCTTGGGAGTTATGTACATATCAGTTTGCACACACACATTTCAAACCCCATTCCTTAAAACAGTTGATAACACGTTGAAAGAAAATAAAAGACATACAACAAGAAGACAACCATAGTATATACTTTCTCTATCATAGAAAGGTGTTAAGCAAACGTGTAATTTTGTAGCTATGCTTGGAAATATTTAATACAGTTATTAACACTTCCTCATGCAGTGGATTAAAACATGACAGGTATAAACTGTTGCGATTGGTGAGTGAACATCCCAAATGGAAACCACTGAGTAGAGTGCACGGCTTGCCTTGGGCTCCACCGTACAAGAGATCAAGCCGGTTCTGACGTGGGTTTTGGACTGTGTTGGAATGTAGCTGTGAATGGGAACCCTCTGCATACGGCATTCAAACCTCATCCCACAAATGGACTCATCTACAAACGGACTCAGACATGGACCTTTAAAGCTGCTCCATTCAATTCCTTTCTTATGGGTAATGACCAGCTTGTGTGTTACACAACCAGTGAGTGAAAGATGAATAGTTTACCCTCTTTTTCTGTCTGAGAAGGTCATTATCTATAATTTTTATGATCTCCTTCGTATTCAAGCTACCAAGTAACTCACCTAATTCTTTCTGAATGTTCAGCTTGAAATATATATACTACACATGAACACATACATATAAACATTCTATTGTGATAAATGACAGTGAACTCTACTGACTAAATAATTTGGCAAGGATAAGCTTTTAAATCGGTTTTAGCAGGGGAATGAACAAGATTAAGATTCATAGTTAGAAACAACCAACAAAGAAATCTTTGGGGGCCCTCGGGCTTAAAAGGCATCTGAGCCACATCTAGTCACATAATTAGTGGTATTGAGTAGTTTACTGAATTTTCTATGAACATGTTATTCTTGATCTTATCTCTGATTTGAAAAAAATAGGCAATTGACATCCTTTCCCAGTGAAAAATTGGGGGAACATGAATGTTACAAGTGTCACTTTCATCTTCCCAAATCCATCAGAATTTTCAAAGATGATCACCTGAATTTGACCCAAAATAGTCATCTGAATCTTCAATTTCTAAACTGGAACGTTTCCTTAGTGGTCATGGCCCCAGAGCTGTGTCTACAAACTTAATGAACTTAAGATTTAAAAATAAATAAATAAAATAGGTTTAAAAAGTCAATACTGTTCATTTATTTGAATTGGCTTAACTGAGAATAGAAATAATTCAATAAGTCTTAGATGGCTAAGGTAAAAACCTCAATTGAATTCAAAAGGCTACGATTGTTTTTCATGGAAAAACCAACAATGTTTTTATATTTCTGGACCTTCACTATTTGCTCAGCTATCAATAGTTTTTGATTTGAGCCCTTTAAAAGCTTGAAACGGCAAAATGTCAGATCAATGAGAAGCATTTAAAATGCCAAAGACAAACTCATGTTTGCTGAAGAACAATTAACCTTATTAATTGAAAAGGCAGCTGTGGTATTGGCTATGTGTTATGTTAATAATCTTTTGAAGCCTCATCTTAAATCTTTCCCAAACGTGTGAGAGAGAATTAACTGGAAGAGGTTATGACCCAGGTCTCCTGCTAATGAGGAAGGTTCTAGAATCAGCAAAATGCAAACTCATCGTTTCACGGATGTGGTACCTAAGAGGGATTTATAAGTGATAATCTCAGTTTTGTCTTGTTTGTTTCTGCATACTGCTGACACCTTATCTGAGGAAGTTAAGCTGAGAAATGACTCCATTTTAAACAATTTGGTTCTTGCTCCCTGGAGAGTTGTGAGCTTTGAATTATGGCCCTACTGAAGAAATACCACTGGCCAAATGGTTCTTTTGAGTGTTCCAGTTTCTGCACAGACCAACTTCCCCGGGAGAAGGTTGTCATGCGTTTGTAGACCCAACAACAGGATCTCAAAATAGCTATTAGATAGTAACAACCTTTCTGTCTCAAGAGACTTTTTACTGCCACTTGAAAGATGCAAATGGCTAGAGAGTTTCTCAGGGACCAAGAGAAGGGTGCTTAATTAGGTTAACTGACCTTCCAGAAGGATCGATTCACAGAACCTCCCAGAAAAACCCTCCTTCAAATCCCAGCTCAGCTTCCTCACCTACAAAATGGACCTAAAGTACCCCACCTCACAGTAAACATAAATGCCAGGAGAGAGAGGTGTGGCTTAGAAGGTGGGAGACGGGTACAAGAAAGGAAGGGTGGGCTCAGTGTCGTTGCCTACACGATGCAGTAAGCACTGTGTCATTTTGGACTCCTAGAAAGCCTGATGCAAATATTCCAGTTCAACACTGTCTAATGAGACAAACTGAATGAGCATTCAGTGATTCAGTCGTTATCTTGATGTGAGTGACCGGGAGAGGATCTCTAAGATGATTTCAAAAAAACAGAACAGACCAAGAAGGAAAGAGTCTTAATAGCTGGCCCTCAGTCGTTCTGATTAGCCAAGCTCCTGCTCATTTATGTAAAACTCTATTTCCTAGTCCCTGTCACACCTGGAACCTTCTTCTGTCTGCTTGGCAAAGACAACCAAACACATAGACAAAATAGAAGAGACAGTCACTTGCAAATAACATATTTCTGAAAATAGCCCACAACGTTTAGGACAGCTTTAAGGGAGGGGCTGCAAGGTAGTGTATGTGTGTGTGTGTGTCTGTGCGCGCCCACACACACGTGAGTGCATACTATTTGCATATGTTTAATGGAATTAGCCCTGATGTCTACTGAGAAAAGAAGAGAGACTAGGAAGGGGATATTTAAGATTAGGCACATGCTAAGTCGAGAAAATAACTCCCCAGGAACCAAAAAAAATAAGTGCTAGTGCAAGCATTGAGGGGAGAGACACAAACAGCATTCAAGTCTCAGAAGGGGCCATGAATGGAGGTGAGATCCCCAGGGGTCCTCAATACACCCCAAACCAGGTGACAAGCGTAGGACATGAACAAGCTTCCTCACCATGGAGGCTGAAACTCAAGAGAGAGCCCCGGGGACCTCGAACAGCACATCTTTCTTTCTGGCTTCCATTCTGACCTCCCCGGAGGAGATCAGGCACTTCAAGAATATTCCTAACATTAGGGATTTTTGGTCCTGATGGGGGCTGAGACCAACCTGAGCCTCAGTTCCTTCTCTCTAAAATGGAAGCACTCATCCTTACATCCTAAGGTTATTTTGAGGATCGCATTCTAGGATATGCCTAGAATATAGTCTATACTCCATATAGATATATTTTGATTTTTCCTAATTCGAGTGCTGACCCAAGGCATGTACTTGGGATAAGCAGAGAATACAACATTCCAGTAACACACAGAATAGGATGGACGGGGGAAAAAAGTAAGGTCCCTGCCCACCCTCCATCTTCCTGAAATACACCTCGATTCCTTTTGCCATCTCCTTGCCCCACTTTCTCGTAGGGAACCTGTGGCCAGCCACAACAGTAGGCACTTGGGACTCAGTGAGGGGTTCTGGCTCCTCCCTTCCCTGATACACTTATACCCTGAACTATCGAAAGTATTCTTCACAAGTCAAAACCAAAACCAAACGAAAAAGCTCTCAGGAAATCGTCTTTTTCCATCACAGTCTATTTTCTAAACCTTTGAGGATTTTTTTCAACCTTTTCTTGAAGCACATGGCATAAAGCAGAGCAGGAGGGAGGCAGGATTCGGCAAAGGTTGGAGAACTGAGTGGAACCATATCCAAGACTGCCTGTGCAAAAATGTAGAAGGGCAAGTTTGTCTACCTGTCTAGATGCCTCCAGGTTTCCTTTGAAGATTAAAATAAGCCAGGGCATCTCTAGGAGCACCAGCTATATTCTCCAAAGTTACTTACAAGGCTAAGGGAGGGTTTTCTTGTTTGTTTCATCATGGGGTTGGATAAATTTTTATTTCCTGACAAGAACTTTATGTATCGTTTCTGTTTTTTTTTACATTTAGACTGTTTGCCTTCCATGGGTCCTATGTCATCTTTAGTATTAGGGGACTGAATTTCTAGACTGCAAGCTACTTCTTGGAAGAGTCCATATTTTCTCTTCCCTTTGCATCGCCCCAATCCCAAATTGGCCTTAAAAACAGAGCAGATACTCAGTCAAGTCCTTCCAGCTGATCAGTGCCCTTTGTTCATCCTTGGCTCATGCGAAACAGAACTCTAGTATCTCAGTGATCACTGCCAGCTTTCGTCTTTGGTTTGAGGTTTTAAACTACATCCCTGTGGACTCTTCCCAGGGAATAGGTCCCTAAAAAAAGTTTTCTCTTCTCCAGGACTCTGAGGCAGGGAATGCTGGGGGGTTTGAAGGAAAACCAAATTCAAAGAGGGATGCATGGGTGTGTAGAGCGTAAGAGTGGAGGGAAAGCTGGGCCAGTTCTATGAGGCTCTCTGGCTCTCATCCCAGAGGTATTTAGGAGGATGCTCCTGAGAAACACCTAGAAATGGCTCCGCCTGGTAAAGGGTCAAGCCAGGAATCGGACCACGAAGTCTTGGGTTCTAGACCTGCCTCTGATACCGTCAACCTGACCATCTTATACTGACCCTTGGGAACTTCATTTTCTCATCTCCCTTCCCCTTGCCTCAAATCTTGGTGTAGCTCTATAAGTTATATTTTTCTGAGACCCCTCTGGGCAAGCATCTTTAGCTGATACCAGACTGAGAGTACTTCCGGGCACAAAACGAGCGTGGGTGGGAAAAGAGGAAAAGGAATTTAACAGGAAATATGCCCTTTGATGGGTTTACAGAAATCACACACATGTCCATACCAGCATTACTTTCAGAAGCAAATGTGAGCAGAATATATTACACACCCTTAACCCAGATATTTCTTTAAGAAGGGGCCAAGAACACCAACACCCAAGTCCCACTTGGGCTCTGTCATCCTCCCTAGAATTGAGATTAAAAAAAAAATAATAACAGTTCGCTCTCTACATAAATCTCATCCCACCAGTAACCAGAATGGGTTTTCCATGTGTCAGTATCATCATCACCATTTAAGTTTTAACATAAACTTTACATTATATACAACTTTATTTGGATAATACACTTAACGTGTGAATTGTAGAAATCAGGCATGTATATTATATACATGTGTACACGAGCATTTATATTCACAGGATAAGTGCATTTGATCATCTCTGATCTATATCAAGTGGCACGCTGACCTCACCTGATACAATTAGATATGAACACAGTACAATGTAAAGAGATTGAATGGAAAAGGGCCATTTGATATTGGGTGACCCCACGTCACCTCTCATTCAGCACTGTCAACCCTGTTTACCAAAAGAAGATGGGGTATCAGGAAAGGTCTAATTTTGTCTCAAGTGAAAATAAACACCACTTTTGGAATCCTTTATATAGAAGCTTTGTATAGAACGTTTATATAGAGGGTTAGGTATACGCCTTCATATTGAACCCTTGACTCACATTAGATATCAACCGATGAATTTACCTTCCAGCTACTCAGTTTTGTTTTGTCTTTTTTCTTGAAGTCCAATTATGTCTCCTATAGCCATGGTTAATACAAACAGGCTCTATTTCAGAAACAACTCATGTCTCCTTGTCAAGGATTCATGCACAACAGCTATGCACGAAGAAACAGTACAGGAAAGTGCATAAAGTTAACGAATATATTCAGCTCTTCTGAAAGATATTTAGGTTTCTCAAATTAGTATTTATTTAGGTCTAAAACCACGAGGGGATTTCAGTGCAAGGTATTTACTTATGTGACAAGTGATTATTAAAGCTGCACTTTTTAGGTTTAAAGAAGATAAATTTTTAATCATCATTTAATTAACACCAACTTCTTTTTTTTTTTCTTTTTCATTAGCAATTCTATTTGCAAAGAATTCAGGGCATTTGTCATTTCCTGAGAAGGATGCAGAATATTAAATACACATCAGTGGTAGACGTATCAAATAGAATAAACAATTGTGAGTATATGGCTGCTGTGGATCTTTTGACTAATTAACTGCCTTGGCTAGAGTCCCATTTAAGTGAAACTATTTCATTTGTAAACAAGGTGTAATTTTCTTTTTCTCCCCTGAAAATAAGCATGAATTGATTTGACTGATTTTGCCGCAATGGGTGAATGTTAATACTTTGAGCAGAAAAGCTAAGTGTGAAAACTTCTCCGGCGCCCTAGGAAACAGAGAAGAGAAAACCAAGAATAATCCATGAGACACCCAGTCACGGTGCTGGCTGAAATAATGCAATGAGATTTTCAAAGGATGAAAGAGTAACAAATAAGGATATTATAACGCTGCCCCCCTCATGGAAACCTCACTGGCAGAAAAATAGCCCCATTAGGGATTTGCCTTCTCAGAGCCACAGAAACCAGAAGTGGGCTAAGAACCTGCAGGTGTAAGGATAATGGAAACAATTCTCCAGAAACCTAAAGGTTTCCCAGAGTAGAATTCACGCCCTAGGAAGCTTTCCTCTTACACAGAATATTTTAAGTTGGTTGTGTGCTTGTACTATTACCCATGGACAGAAATACGAGAATTTGAATTCAGGAGTATTTATCTGAGGACCACATGGGTCCTTCTCAAGTGGAGGAAACCATTTCCAGTTAATAAAACATCATTACAGATGCCAGCTCCGACTTGAGTCAGATGCAACTCGGGCACAAATTTGGGTTCAGAGATTCTGGCTCCTTGGCATCAACAAAGATACGATCTCAAAGCTGGGATATGTCAGAGGACCCTTTGTAATGGGGCCATAGTTCAGGGCCTCCTATTTAATTCTCGTCACCTCCTCTACTATAGGCATCACGTACTGTTGGATGTTATAATCCTCCTATTCTTTTACCAAAGAACTGAACTGACTCGGGTTACCTCTGAATTGCTCTCCATTACTACCTTTCACGTGGAAATTGATCATCTGATCAGTGGTCAATTTCCTTAGGTTTGGGATCATCACAATTAAGAATTAGTGAATTTGTGGAAGAGAGAGATTATATATCATCCAATCCTGATTATTTATTTTTTAAAACACTTTAGGTATTAAAAGAAGTCTATATTTTTTCACTAGATTATTGTTGCTTCTTCCAGAAGCCACATTTTTAGTTTCCTTATTCGGAGAAGTATGGGGTTAATAGCAGAAATAATGGTGTTATTAGAAGACTTTCTGGTCTATGGAATCATTCTGAGTGTAATTTGCACACTCCCTGGAGGTCTCTGCCACATTTGGCAGCCCCCTGGGTTGTGAGGGCACCGGAGAAAGACAGTCAGCCTCTTTGGATTGCTGACATACCACTGCTCTGTATTCTGGGGAGACTTTTTAATTCATTTCGTGTTAAGACACGCTAGTCTTGCGAGGAAATGGAGGTGATCCTGGCTGGGGGAATATAGGTCTGGAATGCAATGGAAGAGCAAAGGCAGAAAGTCCTAAAAGACAATACAGTCAGAGGGGTGCCTACGATTAGAAATTAGAGCGACTATTCCAGGTCCTTCAATCTAGGCGTCTCCAATGTTGGGTTTTAGGGCAGCAAGATTGCAACATCCACGAAATAAAATGCAATGTTCAGGTGCATTTGTCATCAGCGCTTAGTCAGCCTCTTCTGCCTTCCAACCTCAAAAATAATGGGAACACTTTCTCACCCGTTGCTTCCCTCTGCCTCCCTACCACTGACCCTGAAATTTATTGCAACCACTTGTTATCATTATAGGGCTCTTGAGGTTAAGTGCACTTTCCCAAAGATGGAGCCAGTCAATGAACCCTTAAGCTCTAAGAGAATTATTCCTGCATCTGCCCACTCACAGGAAAACACTACCTACAAAACAGAACACGCCATGAGTAAGAGAGACAGGGTAACACTTCAACCTGCCACTCTGTCCCTTTCTCCAAGAACCCAAAGCAAAATGCCAGAGGAAACCGGGAAACCAGCAGGTTGGTTGACATTAGCTCAGGGTTTCTGCAGCAAGTAACCAAAGAGACCCACGTACTCTGCAAAAACCGATGGCTAGTTATCCTAAATATTGCAGGGGCATCAGTGTTTTTTTAAAAGACACTAATTACTAGATTAGGACTGTATAAAATCTTTATTTAATACGTTTGCGGGTTTTATAATATTTATTTTTAAACTAGAAAAATTAGGTCTGATAAAGTGTTATACCAAGCACTTTTACTTACTTATTTTCTTGGCACTTTGCACGTACTGGGCACTGTGTTAAGAGCTTTCCACGCATGGAGACTCTCCCTTCCTCTCCCAGTTTTTGAAAATGAGTATCATTTCATATCACACAGGCACAGATTTGAGTAGCATAAGAATGGAATAATGGAGGCGACTCGGAAATGACAAATGCTTTGAGGAATTTTCATTTATCTCTGTTGGTGCTGGTGAAGCAGTTTGCCTCCAATAGAGGGAATATTTCAGAAGAGAGAAATCACTTGTCCCACTAGAGTTTATCCACAATTTGGAGGATGCTCAGGGTAGATGCATGAGTGTCTCTCATGTTTTGAAGGCTTTTGATTTGAGGAGTTTTGGGTGGAAACGAGAATCCAACCGAACTTCATGACGTTAAGGAAGACACACCTAAAACCGTGCTAGCCTTCAGCAGACAGCTGGCGTTGTACTTCCCACATATCACAGTACACATATGGCTGCTGGTGCATGCCACCACATTAACAACTCTGGGCACAGCAACACACAGTTAAGGAGACACCGCCATGGCTGTTCAGGGACTGAATGAGTTATGGTTACCTGGGAGGGGAGGGGTAACAGATACTATACAACCCTGAGTCATCACCAGAGGGAGGAATGCAAACTTACGTACACAAGAGTCTTCGGCATAGACTACAACGGCCGCTGTGTCATAGACAGAAGATCCACACTTAGATATTGAAGACATAAATGTGTTAGTTTATGCAGCTCTGAACAAGACCATCAAAGCCGAGGGTGAGAGAGTGTCTGTGAAACACACAAATCGACATCCAAAGAGATGCTTGTAGCTCTCTGCCTGAGGGCCCTTCCGGCCTTTGACTTCAGCTATGTCTTGGAAAGGGACTAGAATGAGGATAGCAGAGTTACCACGAACACACTCACTTACTATTCTTTGGGGGAGCCTGGAGTTCTGGGGTTGGGCCTGGGCTGTGACAGAAGGCAGAACAATAAAGCTGAAACGGTTACAAAGCCAAACTTCCTAATCTCTTGCACATGTCAATCTCGCTACGGTGCAGATGCATTCTCAACGGTTTTATTTTGTCTGTGTCAGAGTTACATGCATACCATATTGCTTATTCTGTATTAGAGAAACCGTTAGGTGTTTCCGATGAGGAAATTACATGGCGGGCTGGTCTTAATGGAATTTGGAATATAGGAAATCATAACATCACCATTGGCATCCAATGCATCATTATTGCCAACATACCTAGCAGGCATGTCCAGGAGACTTGCCCTTTTATTTATTTTTTTTTTTGGTTAAGGACTCACCTATCTGGTATCCGCTGTGCTCAGCACACACCTCACCAGATTCCTTGAGTGGAAGACTATGGCATGGAGCCATGTGCAAAAGAACCAACAAAAAAAATACCTTCCTAAATCCTCTTCCTCTTTGCAGGGCACTATTGGACATCCGACATTTACCCTCCAGAAGGTTGGCCTTTACGTATGTTTCCCTATAGATAAAACATTAATGGAAGGTTTTAAACATCAGATTCGATACTAGGCATTTTCTTGTACACGCGTCTATTGCTGCAGGAATTCAAAACCCTGGGGGCAGAGTACATATTATTCTTATTTGCAGCATAAGGCATAACATGCTCGGAAATATACACATCGCTGTGGCCTCTACTGTCCCTGGAACAGTATGATGCCGTTGACCTCAAGGACGATCGAAGATAGCTGTCATTCACTGCCTGGGATGGCAACGAGTGTTTGTAAGGGTCTGAGGGGCACCTCCCAATGACTAAGCGTTGGTCATCCCCATAGGAGTGGAGGAAAGGGTTATTGGAGGCATGGTCCGGCAAGAGAGACTGGCTCCGTTTGCTGTCCTCCAGACCCTGGGGGAAGAGGGAGCTTTTGTTCCCCGAGAGTTTGTTTGAGGGGACACTGAAGAGACTCCCATACAAATTTCCCTCCAGGAGCCGTTCCCTGTCCTTGAGGCTTATGCTCCGAGAAGGCCTGCTAAGGTCGATCTCCCTAGGTTTGTCGAGAATGTTATCGTAGGAATGCTGACGGCTAATCCTTAGCTTGTTCTTTTGGAACTGGAGGGCGTTGTTCTGCGCCCAGTCCTGCTGGTAGACTTCCTCCTGGGTGGCTGGGTTCCCTGTCTCCTGAAGCATCTGGTCTTCATCGATGTCATAGAGGTTCCCCATCCGTAGGCAGGCGTCGCACTTGAAGGGGGACCTCATGGTGAAATGGCCTGAATAGGTGGGCAGGTTGGAGAGGCAGCTCCTGCAGTGCGTGGAGTTCTGCCGGTAGCGGTCGCTGCCCTCGCTGTGAGGGGAGCTCTTGTCTTTCAAGCTGAAGTGCTTGGAGTAGAGCTTATACTGGTCGTTGTTGGGAAGCCCGTCTTCGTTGTGCAGGGAGTTCCTGTTCAACGGGAGTGTGGAGTCCCCCTTGCGGAAGTTTTCATTGTGGTCCTGGTAGGGATCTGGGAAGTCCACATTCTCGGGAAGCGTCATGTTTTCAACGAACTGGGGAGGATCTAAGTGGAAGCTGGGCTCCTTCTCGCTGTCAATGGTGTAGATCTTGTCCCTGGGGGAGCTCGCTTTGGTTTTCAGGTAGGAGCGCTCGACCTCGCTGCAGTCCTTGGGGTATTTGGAGGCCACAGATCTCTTGAAGTTGTCCTTGGTTTTGTGGTTCTTATTGTTGTCAGGTTCCCTGTGGCATGTGGCCCGACTCGAAGTTTCTGAAATGTCCGAGTGGGCCACCTCTTCTGGAAGGTACCTAGGACTCTTTAGGGTGTGGGTCCTATTCTCCACTGGTCCCTCATCCCTCTGGGAGACGGGGTTCTGTGTCAGCGAGTCTTGGCGTAGAGATTCCATGGATTTCTTCCAAAGCTGCCTGGGCCTGGAATTCCCTTTGGATTCTGTGCTCACGGCCACCTCCACCGTGTTGGGGTTGGACTCATTGAGAGTCAGAGGGTGCTGCCCCTGGAACACATAGTTATTGAGGTTATCTTTGTGTCTGTTGGCCACAAATGTTTGGAGTTCATTCATATTGTCCCCAAAAATGCTGTCTTTCCCCTGAAAGGACCTGTTGTCTGAATATATCATATTTCCCTTATCGGAAACCATGTCCATGATGAGGGACCCTCTTTGGATGAAGTCAGCAGCTCTTTTGGGGGAATCCATTCTTGAGGAGTTCACGTTGGACATGTTGGAAATGTTTTTGGCTGACCGCAGGAGTTTCAACATGTTGCTCTGGGATCCAGTCAGATTGAAGTCCGGAGATTTCTTCTTTTCTTCGATGTGCACTCCATGAATGCAGCTGTAAATGCCCTGTGGGAAGTCACATAAAACACCATCAGCAGCAGCATGGATAGGAAACCACTTCACAGCTGAACTTTACCTGCAAAGGTGAGATATGTGCTTCTTGTAGGAGCCCTGGAGAAAGAGTGAAATCCAGTAGGAATTCCAATGATGTTTCTTAAATGTATGAGACCGGTGGCAAAGCATCAGGCTTGTCTTGTCTCTCTGGCACCAGATTATCTGACACATAGTTATACATGGAGTTTGAGAAAAGGCATCAACTGATGCTCTTGTAACTATCAGGGTCTTGACGCTTCCAAATTGGCATACAAGGATATCTAATTGACCTCCCAATACCTAGGTCACTAACTCACACTTTTATTAAACTTTCCCAGGATCATCACTGGAGTCTGGATACCAGAGAGTCAGGTACTGACAAACTAAGTCGGCACAAAAGGACCACCTATTATTAATTCTTTTGGGGAATTCCCTCTACCCACACACTGAAGCTGTCAATCAAGGCATGAGATCCTGCTCAAGCAGGTCAATCAGAGCATCCTTTCTGATTAGTCTAAGCATAGGCATGAAATGCACGTGTGACCACTCAGACACTTTTGGAAGGGTAGACGTAGATGCTGGGATGCAAGGAGCAGGTGCAGCAGACTGTCCCTGCCACCGCGTGGGGACATTAGCCTGAGAATGAAGCCATCATAGAAAAAGGCAGAGCACAGGGGATGGAGAGGCATGACATGGTTCGAACCCCTGGACCACCCTTTTGGACTTTCCACTTACCCCACTAATACATTCTTTGTGTGTGAGTTTGTTCAACATAGTTAGAGTTGGGTTTTAGTTACTAAGAACAGTGGAGAGTCCCGATGACACAGTGATGCTGCATTTAAATCCATCCAGGAACTGAGTGACTTCAGGACTCCTGGGGAGCTCAAATATAAGCAGCCCCGTCTATAGGTCTCTTACTTTCCACTCCATCTTCTTCCTTTCTTAAAAATAGCTATTTACTTTTACTTAGAAGTAACCCAAGGGAAGAGATCTTGACTCGTGCTGCCATAGGAGACGAAGGAGCACCAGTGACATTGCCATTTGTGGCCCCCTTCCCCCACTCCTGCCCCCAGATTTTGGCAGCTGTACCCAAAGGGAACAATCAGATCAAAGCTGCAGGATTTGACCTGGTCCTCCCAAGACGGACAGGGAGCCAGCCCAAGAAGGGGTTTATAAAGCGAAGGTGGCAGCTGCTGCTGACTTTGGCATAAACTAGTGGCAAATATGAGTGATTAACTGTGGACTCTGATAATAGTGGCTCCATCGGTTCCCCATGGTGGGGACAAGCTTCACCCACAAGGATGCTCACAGAACTGTGACAGCCTCAACCCATTTGCACTGCTGCATTGTCCCCAGGGTTTTCTAAAGACAATGCCCACCCCAGCCTTCAAGGAACAATAAACAGAAAAGCCCACAGCTGTGTGTTTGAGCGGCTCTTTCTCTGCCCCTCTCAACCCCAGGCTGCGTGGCGAAGGCTCCCTGAGGCCGAGTCCTGGCATCATGCCCTTTCCCACTTCCCGCATCCCTGTCTTTAGCCTCCTTCTCTACGTCGTGTGTGGTTGGCTGTTCACCCAGCCAGGAAGCAATGTCTCCTCCTCGTTGCTTCCAGGGCTGATGGATGTGGAAATCACAAACTCACCACGTACTTCACAAAGCACAGCGCCTCTGAGCCTTTCATGTTAACCTATGCCTTCCCTGCCCAATTTAGTAATATAATCTTGTACCCTGACCTCGGGGGACTCTGCTACTAGGGGTGAAAATCAGTGTGTCTCCTATATGTTTGAATCAGCCAAGATTTGTGCCTTTTCTCCCTGTTGTTAGTATTATGAAAACAGCGGTTTTCACATTTTTTTTCCCTGAAGTTTTGTTGGCTGACAGGAATTTGCTGGCTCCCTGTCAATTCTCATGAGCTCCCCTCCACCCCCTAAAGGTTGTGAGAACTTCCCTCCACCCCTTCACCATCAGAGCAATATGCTTCTACCCGCTGAGATGAGCTCGCTGTCTCTCTGTATGCAGGAGGCCTGCAGAAGGGGTCAGGGAGCTGAATTATGTTTCAGGAGATGGGAGGATGGCTGCTGGCTGCTTTCTCCCATCCTTGGTTTCCCCGGGAACCGACAGGACAGAGCTAAGGCAATTCCCAGGTGCTGACCTGCCAGTTGAAGCCACAGGAAGGAGTCAACGTGACCAACCATGCCTGCATCCCAGGTTTTGATGACGGCATTCTCTAACTGACTTGATCCATTTTCTAGATGGGCTGCTGATGAGGGGAGGTGCATATTACAGAATAATGGGAAGAGTCAGAGGCCTGGAAGCCACTGGACGTGAGTCCCAGCTCCATCCTTTATTAGCTCTGTGACCTTGGATAAGCCACTACATCTTTTTGAGCCTCAACTTCCACATCTATAAAATGGGAATCATAGACTCCTAAGGTGGGGACCAGGGCAAGACACAATAACGCCAACACAGGGGCTCAATAAATGTGAGCTGGACAAGCTCCTCAGTCATTCCTGATCTGCCCTTCTTTGCTGTCACCTCGCCTCTCTATCCTTTCTCACCAACATGAGCACACAGCGCCCATTCTGTCAAAGCTGCAAGAAAATGCATGCTGCCCTTTACAATGAAGGTTTGTTCTGGAAAGCCACTGTGGCTTTCTGGTTAGACAGGCAGCCTAACCCTACCTGGGGAACCAAATCCCTGGGCTGGAGTTTTTTTCTTCCCTGCAGAGTTCTCTCTTTCTTTTCTCCTCTCTATTATTCATAGATTCCAGCTACATTTTATGAGTTGTGGAAATAAGATGCCCTCTCAGCCACCCAGTGGGCCCAGATAAAATTAGCCTTGATGACTCAATGTGCCGTTCCAGGCAATTTGCTCTGCTCCTGACCTCTCAGAACACCCTCAACGGGGCACGGGCTCTGCTGTCCTCCTTGGAGCCTGGGCCAGATCTCTAAAATGTCTGCTATGGTCTAAATGTTTGTGTCCCCCCCGCCCCTTAAATTCATATGTTGAAATCCTAACCCTAAAAGTTGATGGTACTTGGAGGTGGGGCCTTGGGGAGGTGATTAGGTCATGAGAATGGAGCCTTCATCAATGGGATTCGTGCTCTTATAAAAGAGACCCCGTAGAACCCTCTTGCCCCCCCCCCCACCACCATGTGAGGACGCAAGAAGTCTATGACCAGAAGAGGACCCTCACCTGACTTTCCTGGCACCTTGATCTCAGACTTCCAGCCTCCAGAACTGTGAGTGATAAATTTCTGTTATTTATAAGCTACCCACTCTATAGTGTTTTGTTAGAGCAGCCTGAATGGACTAAGACAGTATCTGACTTCTAGTCTATTGGTCCCAATTGTGGGTTAGCCAGAAGCTTCTTTCACTGTTTCCAAGCTCCCCCCATCTGAGCCCATTGGGCAGGCGGCCACGGTTTCCATCTCCCTGGTCTTTGGCTGTGCTTAGTCTCCCATTCTTCACGTGTCGGGAGACAACTGGGGTAGTTCTTTTTGCTGGTGACAGTGGCTGTATTTTTCTGCATGAGAGGGAAAGTGTCTTGGATAGAAAGCAAAAGTTAAGAACATCCCACAGACAAGGCGGGACATTTGTGGAAGTTGTAAAAGACAAGGGGTGGGGCTGTGGGAGAAGCTCGGCTCTAGTGTTCAATAAATGACTCTTTGAGCCCTGGCCTTCTCCCTTGGCAGTGCCAGGAGTGCATGTATTGTAGGTTTGCATCTGCATCGCGTTATCCAGGAGCATCCCAAAGGATGTCGAGCTCACAAGGAGGGCCGGGTGTGTCTGTTGCATAGCAATAGCTGTAAGTCTATCAGCTGGATGGTCCATGTGCTGAAAGAACTGTAATTGAGAGACATGGTGGATGTACAGAAAAGCCTGCTTTGGGGTAGAAGTCAATTTCAGAGCATCCTGGATCGACATCCCTCAGAAAGGAGCCTAAACTCGGAAACTGACTAACGCATGCCACCCAGCCCTGCATACACAGATAATTTTTCCATTCTTGTGTCTTCTTCTGGGATGACAGACAAAGTGAGAAGAGCCCTGTTGCTTCAAGGAAACATAAGGTGAACCCACTCTAAGCTTTTGGGCCTCAGTTTCTTCATCCATAAGACACATGTGATCATATCAACCTCACAAAGTCTTGGCAGGATTAGAGAGGATGGCGGAAACATAGGTGGCCCAGGCCCTTGCTCACACACTAAGCATAACTCAGTGTGTAACTGTGGCCCTGCATTTGTAGGAAAGCAGGTTCTTCGCTGGGAAATTCCCACTGCAGCTTTGTTAATGAAAATGATTGTGTGCTCACAATGAAGATACTCTTTTTTCCACGTGTGTTCTCTGTGCTGTGTAAGTAAGCATATATGGAAGGTGGCATATGTGTAAATATGCACATCAGACAGCTGTAGAGGTGGGTCGTGGCCTTGACCAGAAAGGAAGGACATTTTTTAGCAACCCAGAAGCCCTGCTGTACACAGCGTCAGAGGGTGAGTCTATTCTGAGCTCCCCTATACATGAGAGAGGCAAGAACATACCATTAAGTAGGAGATCTTTCTATTCACACATATCGGACTGCACTTATTTTAAAAGACAAATTTTATCTGGGGAGAAGGATGGTCAGTGCTCAAGTAGGGCTCCCTGCAGCCTTCGAGGATACAGGAATGATGGTGGCTGGGAGTCCTCAAGGGGCACAGAAGTCCCTGCAGTGTCCTAGGGACAGGAGGCTGAAGTGAACTACCAGCCTGTCAAGCCACAGCACAACGCCTGCTCCTGTCTGCTCAGCGCCCCCTCCACTCAGGCCCCTCAAGATGCTTGGGACGGGAGTGAAGGACTCAGTTCATTTCTCGTCATGCCAATCCTATCATCTTGGCTTGCTTAACGGTATCTCAAACAGAGGCGATGCTTTTCTAAAAACAAGCAGTAATTACAAGTAAAAGCAACAGCGTGCCTTTGCTCACGATAATCCCAGAATGACCTGGACATGGAAAGCCTTTAGTAATTGGTGGAGAGAATTAGCTTAAAGTTGGCATAATACCTAGCTGTATGCATGCATGTTATTTTTAAGCAATCTGCGTGTTTAGATGCCATCAAGCTAATTAGGAAGTACGTATTTGCACAGAATCCAAGTTTAGGGTGCTACTGAATGGAGAAAATAAATCCTCCTCATTAAGTTAATGTGTACCTACATAATCTCCAACGTTCTTAAAAATCATCAAATGCCAAGATTACACACATTCCTTTTAAAATGAATATTTAGCTTTCCCAATAAACATAAGCATATAAAATTAGATGGTTTTAACCAAATATTTTTCACCATGTTTCAAATCCTAATTTGTTAAATGTTTTCAGAGTGAAAAAAACTCCAAGGTGAGGAAATGGGAGAGATAGGTAGATAAATAGATGAGAAGATAGATGGATGGATGGATAGATAGATGATTGATTGCCAGATAGTTGGATAATGTTATGCTGTGTTGGAAGATGAGTGAACAACGTATGTATGTGCTTTTATCATGATGCAAGTAAATGACTAGATTGTGTTAAATATATAAATATGTATTATGTGAGTTGCACGCACATACATGTGGGGTAGTATGAATTGCATCGAATCTTTTGTATTGCTTATATTTGATGCTTGTTGCTGGTGTAAGAGTGTGGTACCACGTGCTCTAGATTCAAATCCTGGCTCCAGCAAAGCTATGTGGTTTTGGGTAATTCCCCTAACCTCATAACTTTCAATCTCCCCATCTGTAATCTGGGGCTAATAACAGTCCCCACCTCATAGAGCTGGTTTGTAGGTTAAATGAGATGAAGAAAAGTCCTTATATGGTGCCTGGCACATATATGTGCTCCACAAACCTCAGCATTTCCCCTAATTGTTCTCATTATTGATGAATTATGTCACATGTATCTTTTGATGGCAACCTACACATGCCATATCGTGCAGCCGGAGGAGAGATTTTCCTGGATGGCGCGTGAGCTCACTATAGCACGCATCTTCTGTGCTGTAGTTTACATTGGGTTGAATGCATATTTTTGTTTTCTGTTTGATGTGTGTGCATTTTCTCATGGTTCTTCACATCTGTGTTCCATTTCAGGCTCTGGTGCATTACACATGCTCTTGTGGTTTGTTAGATGCGTATATACACACAACGTAGCATTATATATAGATTTTGTTTCTTGGTGCGTGTTCTGCTGGAATGCATGCACAAGTTGTGACATCCCACAGAGGAATTTTAGCAGTGTTGTATGGCACATCTGGGTGCTAGTGATGGAGGCCGCAGACTGGCCATGTTTGGCCCATGGAGTGTTTTGGGTTTTTTCTGGCTTTTAATGGATTTAGTTACTAATATTTAAAAACCAAAAGGTTTCGCATCTAATCAGATGACCACTTTCTCTTTTAAAAACTAGAAGACCTGATAAGACTGGCCCTGCCTTCCCAGAAGACAATACTGGGCAGGAGTTGAGGATGACTGCCCCCTGTGGGTGTGGGAACAATTATGCAATTTGTCATAGTTCCCAGCATTCACTGTGGTTCCCTCACCTTGACATCCAGGTTCAGTTGCTATTTTTCATCTCATTTGTGCTATTTTTCTCATGCTCAGCCTGCGTTAGCCACTTACCTTTCCTCTCTGGCTTCCACAGTCATGTAAGTTTGCAGTCTCTGGGTTATGAACGCACAGAATCTGGACCCCCTTCTGACAAGCCCCAGAACGGCTGCTGAGTGACAGGAGGATGTGCGGGACCCCCTCCCCCATCCAAGGAGTCAAGACTCCCTGATTCTCGCGAAGCCCCGTGTTTGTCTGGCCCTGCCGGCCCCATGAGGAAGAAGCCGCCGGGGGTACTGACCCTGCTGATGGAGAAGAGCAGCCCAGGCCGGTCGGAGCACACGCCCGTGAAGCAGAAGCGCAGCTTCCAGTAGAAGAGATGCTCCCAAATGAAGGTGATGAGGCTGAGCGCCATGGCGGCCGCCAGCATGTAGAACACGCCCGCCATGTTGTCGATGTCCAGCTGACTGCTCATCACCTCGTTCTTCTCGTTGTGGCAGATCCCCGTGAGCCACAGTGTCTCCAGCTCCTCCATCTCACCTGGACAGACGACAAGATCCACAGGCATGAGGAGCAGGGCATGCACACTGGGGCAGATACCACTGGGTTTGGGACAGACGTATGTGACTTATAACTGTCTAACAGTAAGGCAAGTTACTGAGCTCTCCTGGTCTGCCTTCACTCACTTGTTGAGTAAAGATAATGATGGTAATAACACCTCCCTAATATCATTGCAGGAGGGTGAAATGAGAGCATGTGGAGAGGGTTGGCACAGTCCCTGTTTTGTTTTTTGGGTCATTATCAGTATGTTCTGCCCTCTCTGCTTCTCTTTATCCCTATCCCCAACACCCACACAAGCCTGGAACAGAACACGGGATAAACTGCAGCATGCTACAGTGGAAAGACTTGCGTTCCAGCCGTGACTTCATCCGTTACCAGCTGTGTGACCTCAGAGCCACGGTTACCCTCTCTGCGCAATGGATGTAACAGTAGTGCATGCTTCCTAGAGTTCTGGTGAGGATCAAATGCACTCTAGTATGCAAAATTCCTAGATGAGTACCTGACTCATGGTAAGATCTCATAAATAATAGCCTTCACAGGATTGTTGTAAAGGCAGTGCCCAGCACAGTGCCTGACACACAGTGGTCCTCAAGTATATTAGTTTCCTTTTTCTTCTTTCTTTAGAACCCCCAGTCACCTACAAGCAGCACACTTAGGCACAAAACATAGATTGAAAAGAGACATCCCAATGGGCTCCGAATGGCCCCTTGCCATCTCAACACCTCCCAACTTCAGTAGGCAATGAAAGAAGCAGGTGGGGGCCGGCCCAGTGGTGTAGCAGTTAAGTTCGTGCACTGCGCTTTGGCAGCTCAGGGTTCACTGGTTCAGATGCCGGGTGCAGACATAAATACCGCTCATCAAGCTGTGCTGTGATGGCATCCCATGTACAAAATAGAGGACAATTGGTGCAGATGCTAGCTCAGGGCCAATCTTCCTCAGCAAAAAAAAAAAAAAAAAAAAGGAAGAAGCAGAAGCAGGTGGGGTTTTCAATGGAAGAAAATGTCAGCATGCTTAGCATGAATTCGTCTCTCTTTTATGCACATTTGTCCATTTGCCATTTAGGAGGAAGTTCTCTGATATGAATGTCTAGCAATTATACTAACTGTCTAGCAATTCACTAAACTATGACACTTAGACTATGATTCAGCCTTTAAAAATTATCCTTCAAAGACAGTGAAAATCAGGGGAGATGCATATAATGTTCAGTGTAAAGTATGACTATAGTGTGTGTTATATATATATATACTAAGACATAAGACACTAAGACATAAGAGACATGCAGAGAAAAATAAAGGACATACTCCAATGTTTATTTGATTCTCTTTTGAAGAGGCTAATCACAATTATTGCTCTCACATTGCCTTCTCTTCTAAGTTTTGTGAAATTAGTGTGTATTGCTTTTTGTCTGTTCTCAGTCTTAAACGATTTGGCTGAACACAGAAATCGAAGTTGACGATTATTTTTCCTTGACCTTTTGAAGACATTATTGAGTTTTGTTCTGATCTAGATTGAGAAGTCAGCTAGTACTCTAATGGGTCATTACTTCCACGCAATCTGTATTTTCTCTCTAATTGCTTCTGAGAATTTCGTGTTGTCTTTGGTGTGGAATCCAGGCGTGAATTTGTTTTATTTGGTCTGCTCTGAACTCAGTGTAATTCTTCAATATGATGACTCATAACTTTAATTCTGGAAAAATCTCATCCATTGTTGCTCTGAATATTAACTCTCCCCAACCTATCTTTTTTTAAAATTCATAGACTTTATCTTTTAAAGTAGTTTTAGATTTACCAAAAAGCTGAGCAGAAAGTACAGAGTTTTCTCGTATTTTCCATCTCCGTTCCCTTTTAACATCTGGCATTGCAGTACATTTTTTACAATTCAGGAACCAACCTTGATACATTGTTACTAACGGAAGTTCATAGTTTACATTAGGGTTCACTTCCTGTTGTAAATTTCTGTGGTTTTGCTGAATACTTAACGACATGTATCCATCGTTACAGTATTATACAGAGTAGTTTTCACTGCCCTAAAACTCTTGTGTCTATCTATCCATCTCCCCATCCCCCATCCCAACCCCTGCCAACCCCTGATCTTTTCAACTGTTTCTACAGTTTTGCCTTTTACAGAACATCATATAGCTCAAACCATTCAGTATGTAGCCTTTCAGACGGGCTTCTTTCACTTAATAAGATGCATTTGAGGTCCCTCTATGTCTTCCCACGGCTTGATAGCTCATTTCTTTTTATCGCTAAATAATGAGTTCCTGTTGCTCACATCCTCACTAGAATTGACTAGTGTTGTCGGTGTTGGGGATTTTAGTCATTCTAATAAGGTGTGTAGTGACGTCACACGAATTTTCGACTCCCTAAGGACACATAATAACTCTATCTTTTTTTTTTCCTCCTGAAAATTTTGTTTCAAATATTCTGGTCCTTCTCATTCTATCCTCTAGGTTATATTATTAATTTTGTTTTAACATTTTCCATTCCTTTCTCTCTCTGTCATGGAGTTAGATGGTTCCCACAGATCTATTTTCCAGTTCATTTATTCTTTCATTAGCAATATTTAGCTTTAGGTTTTAATCTATTTAATTGTGACATTCATCCAGCTCTCTTAAAGTTCTACCTTTTTTTAATCATAATGTCCTACTCTTCTGTTATGATTTCTAAAACTTTTATACATTTAATAATTTCAAACCTAACAGGCTTTCGGATTATTCTCCGCCCTGCCCCTCCCCGCCACCTTACTTCGTGGAATTCGAATTCTTCTGTTTGTTGTGTGTTGACTCTCATGGTGGATTACTTCCTTTGACACTCGTAACTTTTGATTATGAGCTAGTCTTCAGCAGAGCTGTTCTCCCCCTAAAACCCACCAGGCTCCCAAGCACACCGGGCTACAGTGGGCTCCTGCCCTGGTTCCAGGCGCTTCCACTTACCAGTTTTTGTACGCAAAGTTTTTACTGTAATTACCACACCATTTGAATAGTAAACATTTAGACTTCCATACTCATTTGGGTTTTAATTTCTCACTCAGAGCTTCAAACAGATGGCGAGTTTTCTTGTACTTTTTTCACTTTGATGGACAGTTTTTTCTAGTCTCCTTTTCACAGACGCATTGATTCATTGAAGGTCTCTGATTTAGGCAGTGGTATTACTTTCTACTCTCTTTGCACAGTCGAGGGCCCCCATGTGGAAGTTAGAGCTCTGGTCTCCACCCCTACTGCCTGAAGCCCCTTAGGCTGCTGCCCCTCAGCTGAAAACCCAGGAGACTATCCCCTTCTACTCTGTTTCCAGCACCTGAGGTTTTCCTCTCTTTTGACCTTGACTGTGCACTGTGCAAGTCTGTGTGTGTGCACACGCTTCTAACCCTGCATTGGGATGTGTTTGCAGCGTAAAGGGGGCTCACGCCAGTTCAGTTTACCATTGTACCACAACCATATATGTGTGTTTAGCTTTTGTAGTCAGGATTGAAAAAGCATACATATTTATGGCAGGAAAAAAATAGGAAATATATCCCTTTACAAATTTTTCACCCTCAAGGAAGGATGCTGGTTAATCCTGGGCCCAGGCAAAGCAATGGGAAGGGATATCTTGATTTCAACTCCTTTCCTTCCAACAGCCTTCAGGGCTTTCCCAGAGTCACAAATGTCCTGGGAGACTCTGCCATATTAGCTCATTGTCCACCCAGCGCCATCACCAACTTGGCCACATGCCTGTGCCCGCTGTATGCCTCAGGATGTCCATCACCGCTTCCTCTTCTCACAAAAACACCAATGCCATCCCTTCAAAAATGCAGTGTGCTGTTGACTCCTGCCTCCCTTTGGATTTGTGAGGACACACGTTTTGTCACCAGGTTTTGTCAAATTTCCAGGGCTTCTTCCTTTTGGTGCCATCCCAAAGAAAGCCAGGGTCGTATGCCTCTAACACGGTCGGTCTGGGTATTAAGAAACATCATCTGGATTCCTTTTAGGATGGAAATATAAAGATCTTTCCTCTGCCCTCTGCAAGTCCACTTGGGTAAATCAGACCCGCAAGCCGAAAGGAGAGTAAATGCACATTTCTCAATACCAATTACAGCCTGTTCCAATCATTTTCCAGTTAATCATTTCCTGCCTCGTGGCCTTCTACTCGTGTACTGAACTGTAGTTCAAATACTTTCTTATTTCACTTTTAATTTACTCAAGTATATTGTAATCTCCTTGCAGGAGATCAGGGACTGTGTTTTATGATTTTGATATTTCTCATGGCCTGTAGCATCTAGTAAGCACTGAACTCATATTTTCTGTTTCTGTTTCTCTCCTTCCATCCCCAAGCTTAAATTGGGCATCATCGCAAAAATGTTCAGATCTGTCGGGTGAGTTTTTCTGCCACGTAAATAGAGGAATGCAAAGAAAAAGGGAACCTGCAGCAGGCTTGAGAGTAAAAGGCTGGGAAGCCGCATGTCCTCAGCCAGGGTGAGGTGACAAAGGGCGCTTTTTCCAAGGAGCAGCCCTATGATGCTCATTCCACCCTCCGTTTCTCCCCTTACAGAGAGGCCACGATCTTTGTCAATATGATCTTGTGAACGGGAGCTGGGAAATGGAACAATTCAATCTCTTTCCTGAAGCAGATCATTCTTGCTGGGAAGACAAACGCTAAGTGGTCTCCTGGGAGCAGAGGGAGCTGGGCAGCTTTGGGTCTGCAGCCAGGCCCGTATTGTCTTCCTCTCTCCACCCAAGAGGACGGGTCCCTGCACGATGCTGAACGATCCCCCCCTCTCTATTTATACCTCTAACAACAGGAAGCTCATGAGCACTTGTCAATGGCTTTGCATCCATGGGAGTTATGCCTGTTCAAAAGCTCGTCCTATATCTGTCTTCACAGGAGAAAGTGTTGACAGCCACAGGTCTACCTGCCGACCTCTGAGTTCTGTGCCATCCCAAGGAAGGCCATAAGTCCAGTACATAGAGGGGTGCGTCACAGCCCTCTCCCTTCCCAAGG